CTCGGTCATGGCTTCGATCATGGCATCGAGCATGTGCCTTCGATCGTGACCCTCGATCTTGGGTCTTGATCCTGGCCCTCGAGCCTTGCCTTCGATCATGACTCTCGAGCCTTGCCTTCGATCATGGCCCTCGAGCTGGTCCCTCGATCGTGGCTTCGATACTAAGCCTCATCCCTGGCTTCGACTCAGGCCGTCGACCCTGGGCTCTATATCTGGGCTCCATCTTGGGCTCGATCACAACCCAGAATATCCAGCAGAAGGAAAAATTGCAGCAGCTTTTTAAGTCCAACTTTTAATCTGTTAACCATCCGAAACTCACCTGAGGCCCTCGGGACCTCAACCAAATATACCAACAAGTCCTAAAACATCATATGAACTTATTTGAAACCTCAAATCACCTAAAACGACGCTAAAACAATGAATTATGCTTCAATTCAAGCTTAATGAAATTTAGAATTTAAAACTTCTACACTCGATGTCGAAACCTATCCAATCAACACTGATTGACCTCAAATTTTGCACACAAGTCATAAATTACATAATGGAGCTATGAAAATTTTCAGAACTGTATTCCGACTCCGGTATCAAAACTTTAACTCCCCGGTCAAACTTCCAAACTTAAATTCTTGTTTTAGCCATTTCAAGCCTAATTTCACTACGGACTTCCAAATAAAATTTCGATCATGTTCCTAAGTCCAAAATCACCATACGGACCTACCGGAACTGTCAAAATACTGATCCGAATTCGTTTGCTCAAAATGTTGATCAAAGTCAACTCAGTTGAGTTTTAAATCTTTAATTCACATTTTAATCCATTTTTTACATAAAAACTTTTCGGAAAATTTTACGGACTACGCACGCAAGCCGAGAAATGATAAATAGTGCTTTTCGAGGTCTTAGAACACAGAATTAATTATTAAATTTAAAGATGACATTTTGGGTCATCACATCTTTGATATCTTTTATCTTAGCAGGTGGATTTTTCAAATGAGACAAATGATCAGCTACCTGATTCTCAGAACCTTTTTGATCTTTTATTTTAAGATCGAATTCTTGCAGAATGAGTATCCACCTTAGTAATCTGGGTCTAGCATCTTTCTTTGCTAAGAGGTACTTTAAAGCTGCACGATCAGTATAAATTGTAACCTTTGTTACTATCAAATAGGAACGAAATTTGTCAAACGCTATATTAAGCTCCGAAATTTGTAGCATAATTCTTTTGAGCTTCATTAAGTGTTCTACTGGCGCAGTAAATAGGCCTGAAAATCTTGCTCTCTTTTCTCCTAGTATCCCTCCAACTGCTATATCACTTGCATCACACATTATTTCAAATGGTTCGCTCCAATGAGGAGAAACAATAATTGGAGCATTAGTCAATTGTTTCTTGAGAATCTCAAATGCTTTCCTGCAATTATCTAAAAATTCAAACTTCACATCTTTCATCAGTAGGTTAGTCAGAGGTTTTGAAATTTTTGAAAAATCTTTTATAAACCTTCTATAAAAACTTGCATGCCCTAAGAAAGTTCTAATGCCTTTAACATTGGTAGGAGGGGGTAATCTTGCTATAAGATCAATTTTAGCCTTATCAACTTCCATCCCTTTAGCAAAAATTTTATGTCCTAAAATAATTCCCTCTGTTACCATGAAGTGACATTTTTACCAATTAAGAACCAAATTTGTGTCTTCACATATTTTAAGCACCAAAGTCAAATGATAGAGACAATCTTCAACTGTCTTACCAAAAAGTGTGAAATCATCCATAAAGATTTTAAGAAACGTTTTGATCATGTCTGAGAAAATTGCCGACATGCAACGCTTAAACGTAGCAGGAGCGCTGCATAGTCCAAATGGCATTCTTCGATAAGCATATGTACCTTGGGGGCATGTGAATGTAGTTTTCTCCCGATCTTTCGGAGCAATTGGTATCTGATTATACCCAGAATATCCATCAAGAAAATAGTAGAAACCATGGCCTGCAACTCTTTCAAGCATTTGGTCAATAAAAGGCAAAGGAAAATGGTCTTTTCTTGTGGCTTCATTAATTCGTCTGTAATCAATACAGATTCTCCATCATGTGACTGTTCTAATAGGTATAAGTTCATTATTTTTATTTTTTATTACTGTCATACCTCCTTTCTTTGGTACTACCTGTACAGGACTTACCCAAGGACTGTCAGATATTGGATAAATGATACCTGCTGCCAGACATTTCACCACTTCTTTCTTGACGACTTCCTGCATTGCTGGGTTAAGTCTCCTTTGGGGTTGAACTATAGGCTTATACTCATTCTCCATAAGAATCATGTGCATACAAATAGTTGGACTGATTCCTTTGATGTCGGCAATAGTCCACCCTAAGGCTCTTTTGTGTTTTCTCAAGACTTCAATCAGTTTGCTTTCCTGTTCTATAGTCAAAGAAGATGAAATAATTACTGGAAATAATTCAGATTCAAGAAACACATATTTTAAAGGAGAAGGAAGATCTTTGAGTTCAATTTTTAATTGAACTCCTTCTTGTGAGACTTTCTCATTTTCTGACTCTTTTTCCAGTATTTCAGCTTCTTCTCTAATTATGGGGTTATCATCACTTATGGTACCTGACCTAGCCAAATATCTCTCCAATGAATCACTAATTAACTGATTATCTTTGTATTCGTCTACAAGATCATCTAGTAAGTCAATTTGAAAACAAGATGTGATGACTCATCCCCAGGAAATTTCATCATTTTCTACATGTCAAAAATCACTCTTTCCTCATCAACTCGCAATATTAATTATCCTTGATGAACATCAATAATTGCTCTCCCTGTTGCGAGAAATGGTCTACCTAAAATTAATAGTACCTCAGTATTTTCTTCCATTCCAAGCACAATAAAATCTACTGAGAATATAAATTTGTCAACTCTAACAAGGATATTTTCAATAATTCCTTTTGGTCTCTTAGTACTTTGATCGGCTAATTGAAGAGACATACCAGTATATTTCATTTCACCAAGTTTTAATTTCTTAAAAATTGAAAAAGGCATTAGATTTATTGAAGCACCTGAATTACATAACGCCTTTTCAAAATGAGCACCTCCACGGTACAAGGAATTGTAAAACTTCCCGGATCACCCAGTTTCTGTGGGAGCTTATTTTGAAGTATAGCACTACATTTTTCTGTAAGCTTAACCACTGAAACTTTTTCCAATTTTCTTTTACTTGACAAAATTTCTTTGAGAAATTTAGCATATGAAGGCATTTGTGTCAAAGCATCTGTGAAAGGTATGTTAATGTAAAGTTGCTTCAAAATATCTAGAAACTTTGAAAACTATTTGTCAAGATTTTCTCTATTCATCCTTTGGGGAAAAAGGAGAGGTATAGAGTGAGGATTTGTTATCAATTCATTTTCTTGTACATTTTTCCCTTTATTCTTTTGTTCTTTTGGAAACTTAGATTCCATTTGATTCTCACCTTCATTTACCTTTTCTACTTCTTGTGTCTTTCCTTCTCTATCTGCATATGGATCATTAAGAGATTTACCTGATCGTAGAGAGATGGCTTTGAGGTGTTCTTTTGGGTTTTTCTCTGTGTTGCTTGGTAGAGCACCTTGAATTTGTCCAGATGTGAGGGTTGCTAATTGGCTTACCTGAATTTCGAAATTCTTGATAGCTGAATGTTGATTTTCAACCTTCTCGTCAGTAACCTTAATGAATTTGTACATCAGGTCTTCAATGCTTTGTTGATGAGCTCTTTGAGGCTGCTGCTGATATTGTTGAAAATTTTGTTGCCCTCTATTTTGATTTTGAAAATCAGGTGGTCCCTGTACCTGCTGCTTTTGATTAAAAAATCTTTGAGGATTTTCAACACCATTAGGATTACTCCATTAAAATCCTGGATGTTTTTGTGCCATGGGACTACCGAATGAGTAATTATTTCTATAACCAATCATATTTACATGTTCCTCATTTTGTGTTGAATCTTGACATTCATGATTAGGATGATTACCTTGACAAACATCACAATTCTCAAGTTGGGATGAAGAGTGAGCACCTACATAAAAGGCCTCAACTTTTTGTGTTAAGTTTGCAATTTTTTGTGTCAATGAATTCAAAGCTTCAACTTGATTTACTCCTGTTGTTTTCTTGATAATTATTCTGTCTGAGGGCCATTGAACAGCATTTTTCGAAATCTCATTAAGCAATTGCATTGCTTCTGCAGTAGTTTTTTCCATTATTGATCCTCCTGATGCTGCATCAATTACATTTCTAGCAGAGGGTTTAAGACCGTGATAGAAAATATATAAAATGTCAGGGTTTTGAATACCATAATGTGGGCATTTTTTTAACATTGCTGCTAATCTTTCCCATGCCTGGTATACAGATTCAGTATCTGTCTGCATAAAATTATTGATTTCTTGCTTCATTTTAATTGTTTTTGCAGGTAAAAAATATTCATTAAGAAACTTTTAGGTCATTTGGTCCCATGGTGTAATGGAACCTCTAGGCAGGCTTCGCAACCATGTTTTGGCTTTACCTTTTAATGAAAAAGAAAAAAACCGCAACCTGATAGCATTTGTTGTAACTCCATTGTACCTGCAAGTTTCAACTAATTCAAGAAAATCAATTAGATGGGTGTGAGGATCTTCACCTGCATCACCAACAAACTGACATGACTGTTGAATGGTTTGAATCAAGCCTGTGCGGATTTCAAAGTTGTTTGCTGCAATTGGTGGTCTCCTCACACTTGATTCTCCTTCAAAATGATCAGGCCTTGCATAATCATAGAGTATTCTATCACGTCGTGGTGCCACCTCATCAAACTGCTCTTCTACTTGATGTGGTGGAAGTTGGTTATTGAGTTCTTCGTTCTCCATTTCCTCTGATGTAAAAATTTGAGATCGTGAGGTTTGTTCTTTTCACAACAACCGTAAGAATTTTTCAATTTCAGGATCGTATTCGACTAGTTCTCTAGAAGAGGAACGGGTCATACACTTTCTAAAATTTCTGCAGAAAATTTAAAATAATTAGACAAAAAAATAATCTCAAATTAGTAGTAAAACAATTAATCTGTAGTAGACTTTAGCCAATCCCCGGCAGAGGCGCCAAAAATTTGACGAGTGTCTAGCGTATATAAAATTCTAACTCGTACTCTGTCAAATAATAGTATAGAAAGATGTCGAACCCACAAAGATTGGTTTATCTATTCTACAGACGTTTCTTGTTTTAATTACTATTTGAGAAAATTAGAAAGAGTTGAGTTGTAAATTAACTAACTAAAAATGCATGAATAGAGCAATAGAAAATATTTTGTTTTTCACAAATATAATAAAAAGGTGTTGGGATCTTAACTTCACTTAATATTTCTATTATATAATAGAATTATTATTCTTCAATTTCTATTTCTCAAAAATGTATAACTACCTCTCACGATTACAAATATATATTATTACTTACGTTGAATAATTAATTGCACTCCTCTCGGTTATACAAATTAATCTTCAAACTAGTAATATTGAAGAACCAAAAAATATATGATTGAACTAAAACACGCTCTTGTTAGTAAGTCCCTTTCGGCTACCCTACTTGCTATAACTAATTATTATACTATTTGCCTCTCTCGATTACAAATAAGTATAAAATTAAATATAACATAAAAGAGATAGATGTTACTGAATAAATATTAACATTTATCACTACTATACTTAACTATATTATTTCTTCCGCCTCTCTCGATTACAGAATTAATAAACAGTTAATATGTAGTACAAGTGTAATGATCCAACCGGTCATTTTGACTTTTAGAACCTCGTTCCCCTAAATAAAACTCTTTGTATGTGCTTTTATTAATTTATGACTTGCGGGGATGGTTGGTTCGGGATTTGAAAGTGTTCGGGTTGAAATTGGAATAATTGGTTACTTAGTTTCGCTTTAAAAGGCCAAGTTTGACTTCGGTCAACATTTTTAGAAAACGACCCTAGAATCAGGATTTGACAGTTCCAATAGGTTCGTATGATGATTTCGGACTTGGGCGTATATTCGAATCGGGTTTTGGGTAACCCGGAAGCATTTTCGCACTTAATAGTGAAAATCAACTATTTGAAGGTTTAAAGTTCTTTAAATTTGGTTTGGAATAGGTTTTGGAGTAATCGAGGTCCGTTTGAAATTATGAGTTTGGAAATAGTTCTGTATGGTGATTTAAGACTTGCACGCAAAGTTTGGTGTCATTCCGAGTAGTATAAGTATATTTCGGCGCGTTCGGAGTAAGTTTGAAGAATTTAAAATTTCTAAGTTGAATCAATTTGGTTTGGGGTATGATTCTTAGATTTGATGTTGTTTTACACGTTTCGAGAGTTTGAGCGAGTCCGTTTTATGATTTCAAACCTGTTGGTATGTTCAGGCGAGCCCCCGGGGGCCCCGAGTGTTAACCGGATGAGGCTCGGACCAATTTTGGAATTTTGATGAAGAGCTGAAGCTTCCAGCTTCTAGTATGATCGCAGGTACGAGCCACAACTTGGAGGTAAGTTAATTCTACACACCTTGAGTTAAATACATAGATTATGGGTAGATTATAACCGGTAAATCTTAGAAATCAAGGGTTTAGATGAAAAACCTAGATTTGTATAAAAATGAGATTTTAACCACAAAAATGGTTATGGAATTGGATAGAAATTATATATTTGAGTTCATTATGGGTAACATTTTCATCCAAAAAATTTTGGAATCCGGGGACGTGGGCCCGGGTGAATTTTAGGAATTTTACCATTTTGGATAGGGTAATTTATTTAATAGATGAATTTTGAATTATTAAACATGTATTAATTATTTTATATAACTTTTGGATAGTTTCGGACTTTTCGGCACCGAATTGAGGTTTTTACGCGACATTTTGATCGGAAAGTGGACTTTGAGACAAGGTAAATCCCTTGTCTAATCTTGTGAGGGGGAATTTACCCCATAAGTGATTAAATTAATAATTATTGTTAATTGTGGGGGCTACGTACGCACGAGGTGACGAAAGTCCGTACGTAGCTACTATCTATGCTAAAGTCCGGGTAGTTTAGGACTCAAAGCATGAATTATGTGTGTAAATTATATTCTTTATTTAATTAAATTATTTGAAATATATTGTGAAATATTAGGGAAAGATAGTAAAAGATGGTAATCTCATATACTTAATTTTCTGCGTAAATTAATTAATTGTTAAAAGAAATTGTTCATCTTCTCGAATTAATCTTCTAATAAATACACTCTCATTCCGGAGGTACATAAGAAAATGTCCTCCTTTCTTGTGGAGCGAACCGAATGCCTCGGTAGTATAGATGCATCTATGGATCGCACCGCACGTCCCTTGGCAGTGTACACGACACTCTGGATCGGGCCGTACGACCTCGGCAGAAATCGTGCCTAATAATAATAATTATATGATACCTTTTATTTTAATTGCAGTTTGTGAATTTAATTAATAGATTGAAAATTGTTGCATTGGAAGGAATTTAATTATTTCTGCTGGTTAAATAAAATTATTGTTAACTCTGTGAATCATGTTGATTTAGATATTCTAGTTTTACTTCCATTATTATTATTGACCCTTAGTGAGTGTCAAAGTCGGCCATCTCGTCTCTACCTCTTCGAGATATGCTTGATACTTACTGGGTACATGTTGTTTACGTACTCATGCTACACTTGCTTCACTTTTTTTGCAGGACCTGATACATGTGTTATAGGTTGACCTATCGGAGCGCACCCACGATATCCAGAGGCTTAGTGGTGAGCTGCCCTTCTAAGCCATTTTGCAGCAACCAGTGCCTCTTCCTGAATTTTTTTATTCTGTTTATTTTATTTCAAACAGTATTTGGAATTTTTATATAATCTACTCGATGCTCATATACTTATGACACCAGGTCTTGGCAAATACACTAGTAGAATTTTTGGACTTGATTATTTTTAATTTGCTAGAATCTTTTCATATTGTTTTAAGTTCCTGAAATTAAGAAGAGTTTAATTACTCGGTTAATTTTAAAAGAATTGAATATGGGTTTAAATTACTAGTTGGCTTGCCTAGCTGTAGTGTTGGGCGCCATCACGACCTATAGGTAAAATTGGGTCGTGACAACATGGTATCAGAGCACTAGCTTCATGTAGGTCTCACAAGTTATGAGCAGACCTAATAGAGTCTTGCGGATCGGTACGGGAACATTTGTACTTATCTTCAAGAGGCTATAGGGTGTTAGGAAACTAGCTTTCTTCATCTTCCATCGTGCAATTGATGTAGTACTAAATATCTTTCTCTTATTCTCTCACAGATGGTGAGAACGCGCTCTAATGAGGTTCCAAACCAGGGAAGAGCTAATCCCCCAGTTGTTAGAGGCCGAGGCAGAGGCCGAGGGAGGGCTCCAGCCCGTGGTAGGGGATGAGGACGTCTAGGACTATTCTAGTTAGGCCGCCAGTGGGTCCAGCGGAGGATCCCATCATTGAGGAACAGGGAGAGGTGCCTGTGATAGAGCCAGCTCTGGTGGATTTCACATCTGCACCGGGATTCCAGGATGTCATGAGTCGTATGATGCGGTTCATGGACACTATGACTCAGGCCAGTTTATTTCCGGTAGACCCAGCCACATCTCAGAAGGGCGGGGGAGCACAGACTCCGACCGCGCAGGCTCATGGGCAAGCAGCTGTTGTATATCAAACCCAGGGTGCACTGCCCGTGGGTGGAGCCCATCCAGCGGCAGCAGCTAAACCTGAGCCCAAGCCAGCTGCAGCCGTTAATCCGCAGAAACTATTAGACAGATGGACTAGACTACATCTTCCTGTCTTTGGGGGTGAGTGACATAAGGATCCCCAAGACTTCATTGATCGGCAGGGATAGACTGTACAACATGAGGATATTGGAGTCTCATAGGGTTGACTTTGCTACTTTTCAGCTAGAGGGCAGAACTCGTAGATGGTCAGAGTCTTATCTTTTTGGCAGACCAGCAGATTCTCCTCCCATGACTTAGGACAGGTTCACCTGTATCTTCCTGGACAGGTATATTCCACCCTCCCAGAGGGAAGAGTTGCGGTTTCAGTTTGAGCAACTCCAACAGGGTCAGATGTCAGTGACCGATTACGAGGCGAGGTTCTCTGAGTTATCTCGTCACGCACTAATGATACTCCCTACTGAGGCGGAGAGAGTGCGGAGGTTTGTTGAGGGTTTACATACTGGCATTCAGGCCACTATGGCTCGAGAGGTTGAGATGGGTACTTCTTATGAGCTAGTCGTGGAGATAGCCCGGAAGATTGAGGGTGTGCGCCAGCGGAGCAGAGAGCAGGTTATGAGAGATAAGCGGTTTAGATATTCTGGAGAGTTCATAGGTGCTTCGTCTGGGGGTAGAGGTCAGTTCGGGAGAGGGCAGTCCAGCAGGCCCCCATATCTAGCACCACCGCC